CACCTAGCAGATAAGAACAATCCAGGCAAACTATAAAGTTTGCTGAGGATCACCCAGCTGAGAAGTGGTAGAGTTAGGATTCAAGCCCAGCTGTTCAGGTGCCAGAACCCAAACTCTCAGCTGCTTCTCTAGTCTGCTGGTCCAACACTCTCTCCATCATGCCACACTGCCTTCTCATTTCTGTGATGGTTAATTTTCTGTGCCAATTTGGCTGGGCCGTGGTGCCCAGATATTTGACCAAACATTATTCTAGATATCGCGGTGAAGGTATTTTTCGCATGAGAGTAAACATTTAAATCAGTAGGCTCTGAGTAAAGCATATTACCCTCCATGATGTAGGTGAGCTTCAACCAAACAGTTGAAGGTCTTAACGGAACAAAGACTGACCTCTCTGTAAGAAGAGGGAATTGTGCCAGCAGACCACCTTTAGATTTGAACTGCAACTCTTTCCTGGATTTCCAGCCTGGAGCCTACCCTGCAGATTTTGGACTGGCCACACCTCCACAATCACATGAGCCAATTCCTTAAAATGGTGTGTGTGTGTGTGTGTGTGGTGTGTGTGTGTGTGTGTGTGTGTGTGTGTCTCTCTCTCTCTCTCTCTCTCTCTCTCTCTCTCTCTCTCTCTCTCTCTCTCTCTCTCTCTCCCTGGAAAATACAATTTACATCACTCCACAGGCCAGATTCTCCCTTACATTGTGTGTGTGTTTGTCTCTCTCTCTCTCTCTCTCTCTCTCTCTCTCTCTCTCTCTCTCTCTCTCTCTCTCTCTCCCTGGAAAATACAATTTACATCACTCCACAGGCCAGATTCTCCCTTACATGAGTTGGGGAGAGCCCCTACCACTCCCTTTACTCTGCAGAGATGCCAATACGATATATGGAGAGCATATCCAACCCGTGTTTGACCTCCTTAAAGAGATACACTCAGTGTTTTGACATCTTAAACTCTGAAGCAACTACGCTGGGCCTGACAGACTTCCCTAAAATGAACCGAGATGTTTCTACATGTAGAACATCAGTTACATTCTTCTTAGGGAGAATGGTATACAGAAGGTGCCAAATAGCTGAAATCTCACGTATATTACTGTAATTTGAAAAAATTATCACCAAACAGGTTATAAAAGGAGAGGTGCATGTAGCTGATGGGCCCATTATCTCGACGCTGACCACCTGTTAGTCAGAAGAGAGTAGCCACGTTGGTGTCTATCTGCAGCCTCAGCCACCATCACTCATCACCATCAGTACTCTCTTCAGCCCTCCAGTCTCACCTTCTAGGCTATATCACCTCAATTCTACCTACTCCCCCCAACCAAGGTCATCGTTCTTCATCAAGGGGACTGTTTAGAAGTCACTCCCTGCTGAAATTTCTACTCACTCTCCATGCTCATTTTGGCACAGAGTAAGCACTGAATAAATGCTGTTGACAATGACTAAAATGACACACATCCCTTGCCACAATCACTGACCATGTTTACCAGTTTATTCAACAAGTATTTATTATGCCAGGAACAGTCCCTACCCTCCCAGAGCTTGCACTCTACTGAAGACAGGAGGACACGATGTATCTGGTAGACAGTGGGCTAAATGCTAATGTTAACATCATCAGCCAGGAGTGAAAAGAACATAGGAACCTGGAGGAAAAAAGTGTTTAAATTTTCGGGAAGGGGAGAGGAAGAGAATGGGACAGTGGAAGCTGGAAGGCAGGCTTCCCAGAAGACAGGATAGTGAAGGATAAGTAGAATGGCTGCGTGGGGTAAATGCAGGAACCACTGGCAGATGGAACAGCATTGACAACAGCTGGAGGGTACACGATACACTCAGGGTGCTAGGGGAGGAGTGGGAGAAGACAAGATGGAGAAAAGGATAGGAAGGGATCCCTACTGGAATCTCTACTCACCCCCAGAGAGAATCCTGCCTAGTATCACAGGAAATCATATCAACCCACCCCCACCCAGAAGACCCCTGCAGGGTCTAGAAGGGGAAGGAAGGAGTAGCTCCCACTGCAGGAGCGAAAGAAGACCTACCCCTCACAATAGTCTATATGAAATGCTATCCAGCTCTTCTCTCCAAAAGGCCAAACCATACCATCCTGACCTCTTTAGCAAATGGCTGAGAAGTTAGTTCTGATTAGGTGCTCGGAGGCTAGATCAAGCTCCACAGACAGGAGTTCCGTGATAAGAACACAGTTCAAACACTCAACCTCTAGGTAACCTCCCTATGTCCAACTCCTTTCACTCCAGGAATAAATGGCTTCACCAGAGACAATGCCCTTTACTTTTTGATTAGAATTTCTTTGTATATGTGCATCCTGGCTGCTAGTGGTACCGTGGGTTTGAAAGCCTCTGAGGCTTAGCTATGATTCTCCACCAACAAGGGAGCAGGGCATTACCAAAGAACAGTTAATAACGTAAAGGTATCAATCTTTTCCAGCTAGCAGCTCTGAGGGCAAATCCTCCAGTTCAGAAGGGAGCAGATCAGCTTCTGTTCTCTGAGCAACATGGCCAGCTATAGGTCTGGTATAATGAAAAGTACATCTTTCTCCCACTATCGCCACCTGGTTCCTTTTTGCAGAATGAACCACAGTTACCAGTGTCTTGTGTATCATTCTGGAGCTGTTCTATGCAGAGTAGGCATATATATGGTTTCATGTGTATATGTATATATACATATATATACACACACACCTTCACTTACATGTATACATTTTTCTACAGTATAATTGGTAGCGTATGATATCCACAGTTCTACACCTTTTCTTTTTTAAATTCAACAAAATATCTTGGAGGTGACTTTCTGTCAGTTCATAGAGTACAACAACTCTGTGTAATATCCCATTATTTGCAACCATAATTTATTTTAAAGTCCCCTCTTGCTATTTCCGATTTTTTGCTTTTATAACAAATTCTTTGCTTATGTAACTTTATGTATGCATTACTTCATACATGTATGGGTTTACCCTTAACATGAATTCTTTGAAGGGAATTTGAGGGTAACTTGGGGGTCAAAGCATGTGAATTTTCAAAATTAATGATTTCCACATTTTTCTCCATAGGGATTCTACCTTTATCACACACTATGACAACATGTGTGTCTGGGTTTATTTCTGAGCTTTCTGTTCTGATCCATTCACGCACTTATTCATGCATCAGCACAGTTTTACCTATTATGGCTTTATAATATGTTTTTGTACCTGGAAAGCCACTCCTCTGTCATCACTCATCTCTTCCAGGATTTTTTCTATTCTTGTTTTTTCCCATATTTTAAAATAATAATAGCTAACATGTATTTGGTGTTTACCATGTGCCAAGCACCAGACTCAGCATTTGAAATGTATCTGCTCATCTAATCAACACAAAAATTCTATGAGGTAGGCACTACTGTTATTTCTATTTTTTCTAAAAGAGGAAACTAAGGCACAGGGAGGTTATGGAACTTGCCCAAAATCACACAGCCAGTAACCACTGCAGCTAGAATGTAAACCAAGAGTCTCTACTCTTCACCACTTTGCGATAATGCCTTTTTCAGTGTGAGATTTCTTCTATTTTCTAACTTCTTGAAGTGAATGTTTAATTAATTTGATTTTCATGATTGATCATCTATTAATGTAAATAATTAAGCCTTTGATTTTCCTCTGAGCACTCTTGTATCTGTATCCCATAAGTTTTGAATATGATAGCGTACCAAGGTGCCTACTTCGCTGTTAAAAATTTGTATTGTAATGTTAAATTTATAGATTAATGTAAGGAGAATTAACATTTTTATGATGTTGAGATTTCCCAACAAAGAACTTTCCAATTGTTTATGATTTTCTTCATATATTTTTATTATGATTATTCATAGGCATTTTATCTTTTTAAATTGTTATTTTAGTGGATATTTTCTTCCACTATGGCTTCCAACTGGTTATTGTTGGAACAGAAAACCATAGTTATCCATATGTATTTATTGGACCTCACCTCTTTAACTAAATTCTTTTATTTCTAATAGCTTTCAGTTTATTTTCATGGGTTTTCCACATAAAAATGTATAAACCATATTAACTTTTTGCCTAATACTCATACTTTTCCCCCCACGTTTACTGTTAGATTATAGAGATGATAAAAGACACCTTTGTCTTATTCCTGACTTTTAATGAGACTTGAAGATTGGAGATATTGGAATAATGTCCACACTGAGGGTTCATAAAACTACAGAATTTAGAAATAGGAAAAAAAAAACCTACTTAGATAACTATAATTATCTTCTTTCTAATTTGTTTTATGAAGGTGCTTTTGTATGGTAATTTTCTTTGGGATCTGACTTGGTAGCATAAACAACTCTACTTTAAAATGTGTTTCCTGATATCCAGTTTAAATGCTTCTTTGTTTGATAGTTTAAATATGTTTAATTTTCTGTTATAAAAGTAACACACGTTCCTTAAAGAAAATTTGGAATATAGAGAGAAACGGAGAAAATCAAATGTTTTTTAAGTGAACTGATTGCCTGCACGCACGAACACACACACACACACACACACACACACACACACACACACACACACACACACACACACACACACACGCCCCCAAGAGGACTCTCGGAGTTAAGGACTTGGTCCTGGTAAGATGGAGGAGGGGAGACAACTGAATTTGAATGTGGAGGAAATTGTTTTCAGAAGAAATTTATTTTTCAGAGTCCAAAAATCTAGCCAGGATAAGCTGATCCTTAGGACTGTTCACTGGGCTGAAATATCCCAAAGAAATCTTTGATTCTCTGACCAATTCTCTCAATCTTTTTGCCTGTCTTCTCCCCACCTCTCCGGAGGAAGTCACCCAGCCGGCGAAATAGCCCCACATTCTGAATCTGTGAACCAGGAGGAAACAGGCTTCTTTTGGGGATTGGCTCAAGATTAAAACCAGACCGCTCCCCACCTGAACATCCCCATTCCTGGGCCACCGTTCACTTCCACCGCCCCACGCTGTGTGTCTACCTGCCTGTTCATCCACACCAAAGCAGTGACCTACCTGGGTCCCCTGAGCTGTTGCTGTTCCTCTCACTCTCCCCATCTTCCTGGCCGTCGGCATTCTGCTGCGTGTGCTGTAGGCTCAGCTTGTGGCAGACCTCGAAGGCCTGCCCCACCGTCCGGACGATTCGCATAGCTTGGCTCTGGGAAGGAGAAAGGAAAGGGGAGAAGGGAGGATGTGGAGACCCTCTATAAGGACACAAGGAGGGCCGAGGTAGGAGAGGATGTGCAAGAGGCATGCAGACAGAAACCCATGAAGCCGGCAAAGGAAAGAGATGGAAAAACCTAATGTTGTTTGGATGTGCACATACTCACAAAGAAGAATGCAAAGACATTTTCCCTTCCTGAAATACTCCAGAAAAAAGAAAATGTCACCACAGTTCTGAAACCATCAGTCAACAGAATGGACAGATAGCAAACATCCCAATTCTGGACTTAGCCCAATTCCACCTCCCAAGTCTGTCAAAAGTGGTTGATATGCTTCAGAATTCTTTGCCAACCATTATCAAATGTTCCATGGGTTCATCACACTAACAGTAACTCAGCCATGTTTTTTTTTTTTTTTTCTGCTGGAAGCGGTGGGTTTCCCTGGTGTTCCTGCAGACCAAGGGTTGAGAAGCCATGGTCTAAACAGCAGAACCAGCTGAGGCCTAGAGTCCAAGTTCCCTGGAACACGACTGGCAGCCAACGGTATCTAAGGCGAGCTTCCCAGCCTTGCTCTAAAGATGTCTCTCACTGGGTGCATTCTTTGGTTACTTCCTTTCTTTCTTTTTTTTTCTTTTCTTTCTTTCTTTTTTCTTGCTATTTAACCTCTTCCTCTAACTGCCCAAGCACTGAGCTTAACCCTAGCTCCCAGTATTCCACTATTAGGACAGCAGAAGACAGGACAAAAGAGCCTGTTCCTGGAAGGAGTCTCAAGTGGCCCACATAGGCCATGAGGAAAAACCACATGCAAGGTTTTCAGGTCATGGTCTTCTAACTGGATAACGGATTATAATTTGCTAATCGGTCTGTTTTCACATTCTTTCAAAGACTTACTGAATGACTTCAGTGAGAGCTATGAAGAGTTTAAGAGCTCAGGCTGGGAAAGCTTAGGTCACTACTCCTTTTACACCAGTGGTCCCCAAACACTCTGCCACCATAGACTGCACTGCATTTAACTGTGGCTGTCACTCCATGCCTTGAGTCTAAGATCAATCACATCTTGGATGATCTGACGTCAGGTCAGTTGTGACTACCTAATGACACCATCAGTTCACCCCACACATTAAAAAAACCCCAAGGTAATGTCAGCAGTCAAGTAGAGCTACTCATCAGCAAACCGATGCAATTATAGACAAACGCAGAGTCCAATGTTTTGATAAGCCTGTAAGGCCTTGTTGAGGATAAACGTATGATTCATTTACACTATTCATAATATTGAAATTAGCTCATATTTCTCTATTACTATCTTCATGAATCCCTAAGGGCCTTGGATCCCATGTATGGAACTACTGCTCTAATTCACTCTCTGCTAGGTGTAGGTCCCCAAGTCGCTACCCTTACTATTTCCTCAAGCCTGGCATTACTTCCGTGTTCTCCCTTTTCATTTCAGGCTGCTGTATTCACGTTAAGATAAAAAGGCATCTTGGCCAATCGCCATCACAGGCCTACTTCAGATCTCAGTCCACTTCTACTCCTCCTGACGCTCCTCAAACCACTTCCTAGAAGTGACCGCCTTAGCGCACAAACCTCTCTTCGCCTATGATGCAAACTCCAGGGATGTTCTTAACTGATCTCTCACCTGGAACATCCTGACGTGTCTGGATGATGAGATCTTTAAGTGAGGCAGGAAGAGATGAGTAACTTCTGTGGGATCCCCCATCACCCAGTGATGGATCAGAGCCTCTGTCCCATACATCCAACCTTAACTTCCTCCTGTTTACCGAAGGGCAGGCTTAGGCCCCTTCTCACACTACAAGTGTGTACTATCTAAGAGATAACCGCTCTGTCTGCACTGGAAGTTGAGGAACAGCAGGCACTGGTCTTAAGCAAGAAGCCCCCACCTTTCTCACTCCCAAAATATATTTAAAAAGTGTCATTTATGGGCTTCCCTGGTGGCGCAGTGGTTGAGAGTCCGCCTGCCGATGCAGGGGACATGGGTTCGTGCCCCGGTCCTGGAAGGTCCCACATGCTGTGGAGCGGCTGGGCCCGTGAGCCATGGCTGCTGAGCCTGCGCTCCGCAACGGGAGAGGCCACAACGGTGAGAGGCCCACGTACCGCAAAAACAAAACAAAACAAAAAAAAAGTGTCACTTAGAGGGCACAGTCCCTAACCACTCCAGGCCAAGCACATCTTTCACATCTCCTTTGGCAATCAAGCTGTGCTCTGAGAAGGAGGCTGAGCCAGGAAGCTCAACCCTCAGGTGAAAAAGAAGATTCTGTTCCACTCAAGAGTGTTCTTCCCCCAGGCCTCCTTAGATCTGTTGTTACTTATTCTCTTTACGAGAATAAGAGCAGACTGCCTGTGGTTAATCTTTTACAGCAAAGCTTACTACCAGTTTACCAAACCTTAGAGATGTTATAGTCTACCTACCAAATATAGCCAGTGTCCATTACACAGAGCCTTTCCCCTTTCCCTTCTTCTGATTTTCGGAAATTTTGCTCTCTTATACATCTTTACAAGAGGCAGAAAAGGACAAATTTGGGAGGTCTAGAACTAAAATATGGTAAGTCTAAATGATAGGTAGAGATTCCATATTTAATTCCATTACTTCCTTATCTTCCATAAATTAACCCAGATAAATCATACTGCATAAGTATCTGCAAAGGCTGAGTTAGTCTTTTCCCAATTGTATTATTACCTGAGTACAGACCCAGTTTCCCTCTTAAAAATATATACTCACGGGCTTTCCTGGTGACGCAGTGGTTGAGAGTCTGCCTGCCAATTCAGGGGACACGGGTTCGAGCCCTGGTCTGGGAAGATCCCACATGCCGCGGAGCAACTAAGCCCGTGAGCCACAACTACTGAGCCTGCGCGTCTGGAGCCTGTGCTCCGCAATGGGAGAGGCCGTGACAGTGAGAGGCCCGCGCACCGCCATGAAGAGGGGCCCCCGCTCTCCGCAACTGGAGAAAGCCCTCACACAGAAACGAAGACCCAACACAGCCAAAAATAAAAATAAATTTATAAAAAATATATACTCACACAGAAAATTCCAAATTTACTACCACATGCGTTGCTACAAAATCTCAGGTTCTCCTAAGGAGGACATGTTACAAATCCCCCCAACTCTGTAAGTCACAGATACCTCCCTTAACTAACTTTTAAGATAATATTAAAAAATGAAAGGGACTCAAGTGTCCCTGAGTCTAAGGAATTAACAGGGGAAAGGACAGGATCTCTAAACTTCTCTTTGGAAGGAAACACTCCGATTGAAGTATGAGGATATAGCTGGTGGGAAATGACTTTTCAGAGGACCTGCATTTCTCATGCATCACACACTGACAGTGGATGATGGGATACACTCAGGACTGAGCATCTGCAGAACCTGGAACCCAGCTCAAATCTCTATTCTGCCACCTTCATCTAGGACAAATGTAAGACACACACCCACCGGTTTCAACCAACTATTTACAAGCCCAAAACGGTCGTAAGGAAGTGGCTGGTCTTAATGCTTAATATTTGTACTCTCCGTGTGTCATTTTCACATTTTAGTACATTTACTAGGACAAGCAATTGACCCTCACCGCTATCTGATTCCCCTGAAAAAGGAGAAAATGCAGACTTAGGGTTCACTGGTCCTGACTTCCCTATGTTAGAAATGACTCCCACCTCTCTGGTCTCCCATTTCCTTCCTAGCCCCCTCTACCAGAGCTGCTCTGCAGAACATCTCTGTAACTTCAATGGAAAAGTGAATCACTGATGTTTATAGCCTCTCCTCAGCCACACAGAGGAATAAATATATGGCTAACATATATGAGAGCACCTCCCACAGTACTTGGCATGTACCAAGTGCTCAAGAAATGTTTCATTCTGAATATGGAATTCACTGTACCAAAGGGGAATTAAGACATAAAACAAACAGTAGTTCAGGAAAGGCTAGGCTTACTTTATCAATAATAGAAATGTGAAGACATGAAGGGAACTGTCTCTTATGTAGGTATGTTAACATCAAAAGGGCTAAAGCCATCACCTCTCTGTCCCCATAGCAACAGAGAGGAACTGGGCCAAATCATCTTTGGTCTGAGCTTGTTGTAAAGGTTTCTGCTGTGAGGAAACTGTTGAGTAAGAGTTCTAGATTGGCACATTCAGTGCTAAATGATTTAATTTCGATTTATCCTTCACTCCTGTTTAATGTGAAGGCTGTATTTCCATTCACAGTAAAAGGACACAGTAACGTGTTTTATGAAGAGCCCTCCTCACTTCAAAACATAATCAAGCTACCCTATCTGCTTTACAGAATGATTATATACATGTAAAAGAACAGCCCTTCCCACTCACCACTCTAGCAGTTAGAAGAGGCTGGGTGGCTCCTAATTCTCTCACAAATGGCTATGTGAATTCAGAGGGCCCTTGACCTTTTAGGCTCCCCTTCCTTGACCAGTAAAAAGTCTACTTTTAGAAGATTCTATATAAGGACCTTGTTGGAGAATATTACTTGAAGGTGGCTAGGAGGGCCAGCCTGCACCTGGCAGGGGCTGTCCCTCCCCTCACTGGTGCCAGGTTCTCCCTGCATCGTCATGCTGGCCTCTGCCTGCCAGGTCTATCCCACGTGGTAACTGGGCCTTCCGGCCTTCTAAGCAAGAACAGTGATTCTGCCTGCACCTCAGAATGCAGGAATCACACATGCTGGAACTTATTTTAATAAACCATAACTAACTCAAGAGGGAGAAGCTTTAAGAAGAACCCATTCCATCGGGCCCCATGGGTCATCACGAAGCAGGTGCTCATACCTCCTGATCTTTGCAAATCAAACTGGGGCTTTAAAGTTGTGAAGATAGCCAGGTATGAAGCAGAGCAAATAATTAGCATGTTGGGAAGGCGGCCCTTTCCAGCTCCGGGATATGGGCATTCTCTGGAATTTACTAGGTTTTTTATTTTTATTTTTTATCTATCTATCTATCTATCTATCTATCTATCTATCTATCTATCTATCTACCTACCT